TCTGCTGTGGCAGGTGTGTTGCAGTGGCACCCCAAACGCACTTCCCTCCCACAGTGTGTACTGCAATGCAATGCGATGGCAAATATATTTTGTGCATGCAGTTTTATTCTGAAGTAAACTTTGTAACGCTCCATTTCTGTATTTGATTTTAAATTTAAGGATGGTATTTTTTTTATCCAATTAATCGATTAACCCAAGAAATAATCGGTAAACTAATCAATTATTAAAATCATTAGTTGCAGTCCTACTCTGAGCCCTTTGTCGCAGTTCAGTTGGTAATACCGGATGTGCATCTTCGGGTGTCCAGTTTCAATAACAAACTGGACAGGTTTGTCACCAGGACCATGGTTCCAGAGCCTTCAGTTCACACTTATCTACTGCTTTCCCTCCTCCCAAAACTCTTGCCTCTCACCTCCTTTTTGCAGGATTATCAAAAGGCATTCTGGTGATTAGAATCTATCTAATCACCCTAATCTATCCTTAAAGAGAACTGGCCTGGCAATAAAGTTTGTGTTAAACATTTTTTTTTTGTTACACACACACACCACTTCTAATTAACAAGGATTGCCTGCTGAAAAATACAATACCAAGATCATGGCTGCAGGTCCAGCCATGATCTTGGTATAACAATTTCAAAACCATGATGTACAGGTGGTTCTTCTGTTGCTGGAGGCAGGCAAGATATTTCTCTTGTCTGTCTGGACACTTATTACACTGGATGCCAGTCCATTGGGCTGAGGAAGGAGTTCTTAGTATGGGGACTTGGCCCTCAAGGGAGTCCAGACTTCCCATCAACATTCTGAAAATAAGGGCAATGTGTCTGTCTCTATAGAGATGGACTAGCTGGTTTTAGAGACAATCTGGAGTTAGCAGACTCCCAAAGTAGAAGGTGGGCAAATGGTCTCTTCACCTGGGGGTGTTTCAGGCCTTTGTTACTGGTGAATTCTGGATGTGGATCGTTTTGCATCCCACTTCAACAACAAAGTGGACAGGTTTATGGCTCGAACCAAGGATATTCAAGCCTTCTCAGTGGACACGTTAGTGACCCTATGTGATACATTTCAGCTGATATATAACTTCCTGTGGTATGGGTTTTTCTTCAACTGTTCTGCAGGATCTTGATGGAGGGCATTCTGGTGATCCTAGTGGTTCAGAAATGTCCCAGAAGTTCGGACTTAGACTTCTGGGTGATTCCCCTAGGGCTCTACCTCACCTATTAAAGAGTGCTTTATTCCATCCTGCTTTTCATTGACTGGCTTTGATGGCCTGGCTGTTGGAACCCAGGACCAGAGGGACTGGGGTCTATGCATTTGAAGGCAAAAGGGTGTTTACTTTGAAAGTCTAAGACTGGAATACTTAGTTGCCTGGTATAAAGTACTCTGTGGGATGTATCCTTTCATTTCTCCAATCTTGTCTGGATCAGCACTTGGCCTTGAGTATCTTCAAGGGTCAAATTTCCACCTTTTGGGTTTTCTCAAAAACTCACTTTGGTGAAAACATTTGCACAGGGAGTAGCTCGTATAGCTTCCCCTATTCATTCAACTATTGCCAGGGGATCTTAATCTGTTCTTGTCAGTTCATCAGAGGCCTTCTTTCACGCCCATTGGGGACCTTGGCAGACCTTGCGTGTTCAGTGGTCTTTCCGTCTGCAATACTGGTATTAGAATTGTTGGGCTTATCCTGTAGAGAGCCCTTTCTGGCACCTAATAGAAATAAGGTGGTGCTGAGGCCTCAGGTCTCCTTTCTCCTCAAGGTGGTTTCTTTCTTCCACCTTAGCCAGGACATTGTCCTGCCTTCTCTTTGCCCTGCTCCAAAGCATCTCAAAAAGATTTTCCTGCACTGCTTGGATGTGGTGTGGGCAGTGTGAGTATACCTTTCAGACACTCCCTCTGTCAATTGGATATCATCTTTGTGCTGTTTATGGGCTCTACTTCCACCATTGTTTGGTTGGATTAGGCAGGTAATCATTAATGTTTATGCCTTGAAAGACAAGGTTCCTCCTTTGACTATTAACGCTTTCTCTGCTACCGACGTATGTCATATATTGATGTCAGCAGCAACCCCAGTAAGCGGACTCCTTTCTGTTTTCCTGTGTAAAGGCAACTGTCAAGTTTACTTCTAGTGTAAAGCTGGCTACCACAACATGACACACAGTGGAATGAGGGCAGCACACACACACAATGCCCTATGCATGTGTTTATGTAGATGCAGGGGGCAGCGGGGTTGGTTTAATTTTTTTTTCATCTTATATTTTTACTTTTTTATTTTTTTAAATCTATTAATTTCGATTAATTATAACACACATACAGATCCAACTACATTGGCCTATACAAATAGAGCACAGCAATGGAGTAATAAAATGAACTAGGATCACACTAATCCAGCATGTTATTAATCTCACGTGCCCCACTCAATATGGCCGCTGCTTGAGTGGGGCAACTAAGAATAATAACGTGCTGGATTAGTGTGATCCTAATTCATTTTATTACTTCATTGCTGTGCTATATGTGTATAGGCCAATGCCTTGGCTGGCGCTCGTGCAGAAAGTTTCTTGGGCAAACTCACCGGCCCAAGTGGCTCTGTCGGCTAACGAAGGGAAGGGGGAGGGGTCCGGTGACGTCACGGACATTGACGTCACCGGACTCCCCCCCCCGGGATGATCTCTGTGTGCGTGGAAGGGGTGATCCCTTTTACCTCAATGACACTTCTGCAGAGTGGTGGATGTTGGAGTCGTCCTGTCTTCCAATAAATGTGTTGGAACTTTGAGCGATCCGGTTGTCTCTACGGCATTTAACTTGTCGTTTTGAAGGTCTACCGGTTCAGTTGGACAGCGCCATGGCCATGGCAGGGTCTCGTTATGCAAAAAAGTAAATTGTGAGTAAGGACTTGTATCTGGATAATGAGTATGCTTTTATCAGGAGAATGTTCAAGTGTGAAGCTGGCCATACACCTTACAATTATCTGCAGCGTTTCTATGGTCAGATGGAAAAGGTGGAACTGATTCCTCCATCCACATTAAACTGTGTGAATGGAGGAATCTCCCGCTGGGCCAAGCTTCAGTATCTTGCTAGTCAGCCCCGCTGGCTCTCAAAACACCTAAACAATGCCGGCATCCAATCAGACTGTTCAGGTATTTTGGGAGCCAGCGGGGCCGACTGAAGGTGCCCAAAAAATACTGCATGTCACATTTTGTACGGTCCGGAAATGCAAAACGTGTCAAACGCACTGCACTGCAGCTAACATACTGATAGCCCCACTCCAGCAAAAAAAAAACTGGAACGCATGAAAAACGCGGCAAAAACGCATAGCACCGCATCTGCAGATCAGGACCTGAAACTCATGTGAACAGGCCCTTAGAGCGCTTGCCACGTCATTGCCAATGTCTGACACTGTGAGGCGGAGTATTGTTTCAACACTAACAAAAGGGATGGAAGATGTCATTAAACCGTAATGTGTGAATGCTGCTTTGCATTTGGATTTAAAAAAAAATTCAGTCCCACCTTAGAATAGAGCAGGGGTAGCCAAACTCCGGCCTTCACAGCCACAGTCGTGGCTGTGAGCATCTTGCAATGCCTCATGGGATTTGTAGTTCCACCACAGCTGGAGGGCCGGAGTTTGGCTACCCATGGAATATAGGGTAGTAATATTTTATTAACGTTTGTTTATTAATAAAATAGTGATGTATAGTGTGTTTTGTTTTTTTCAACTTTTTGCTGATGTCTTTTGTTTTTCTTTAGGAGTTATGAGGATCCACTGGGCGATCATTATGGATCATCCTTGCCTCAGTCTGGAAGTCTTTCCAGCCTTGGACCTGCTCCATTAACTGTTGTCCCCAGCGGCCCTTGGCGGCAACCAGAACTGCCGGAAGTTCTTGCTATGTTGAGTTACACTTTGGATGCTGTGAGACTGAATGCTGCTGCTTACTTGCAGCACCTGTCCTATCGTAATGAGGAGGTCAAGAAAGAGGTTTGTGTTTTGGCCTGTAGCTGATTGCAGATAGGGATTGTCTTTTTTGTTTTATGTAGTACAGTTTTACCATATGAAATTTAAAGGAGAACTATGAGGTGAGTGCTTTTCACTCACCTCATAGTTCTAGCCGACCTGTGACAATGAGACTGTCACAGGCCGGCTCAGTAGATTGGGAGGTAAGCGAACACATACCGCTGTTTGCTCACCTCTCGATCCTGTCACGGCAGAGAGCTGGATTCCACCCGCTACGATCCGCCAGCGCTGACTGGCGGAACGGACGGGGGAGGGGGCGGGTACAGCTGGCTCTGCCTCTAGATAGGCAGAGCCAGCTGTCAGTAACGCAGCTGGGCGGATCCAGACATAATTGTCAGGATCCGCTTCAGCTGCGGCGTCTTAGTATACCGCGAGCAGCAGCTCGCTGTATACTGCGGCGTCTCAGTATACCGCAAGCTACAGCTCGCGGTATACTGAGCCTAGGGTGACGGGAGGACGCTAGTTTGTGTCCTCCCGTTACCCTAAGGAGAACTATGGGGAAAAGCCTTAACCCCATACTTCTCCTTTAACCCCTTCATGACTGAGGGCTTTTTTTTTCATTTTTTGCACCCATGTTATATTCCACATTTTAGGCCTGAAAATGACTTCAAACCCCCAAACATTATATATTTTCTGAATGCCAAGACCCTATAGAATAAAATGGTGGTAGTTGCAAATTTTTATGTTGCGCAATATCAATTTGGAGATACCCCAAAATACTGGCCCTGGAATGATTGCTCTCACTCCGGCGTGAGCGTCGATACCCAACATGTGTAGCGCGTTCGTCGTTTTCATATGTAGGCACGTCCGACGCTTATATACGTGGCGACGCGCGTGCTCACGGGGACGGGTGACTGTTACATTTTTTTTTTGCTTATTAGATTTATTTTAATGTAAAACTTTTTTTTTACTTTACTTTGACTGCTATCACATAGGGGGCTTACAAACCCCCCCATGTGATAGCAGATGGTGGTGACAGGTACTCTTTAAGGTGATGCTGGGGGTCCAAAAGACCCCCAGTGTCACCTTTACACTGTAAATAAGCTATTGAAGTGCAGATCGCACAGAACTGACAGCCCAGGGACCGGAAGTGATGCAATATGCATCGCTCCTGGTCCCATAGAACGGGGAGGGGATCGATGAACGGAAGTTCGTCGACCTCCTCCCCGCGGACACCAAGGAAGCCGGTCCCGGGCCCGTAGGAGGGGCAGCGGAGCCCGGGAAGCACGGCGGCGGTGTCCGGCGGGGGGGCGGCCCCTTCTACGGGACACAGAAGCGATCTGGCAACAGGTAAGTCGCTAGAATCGCTTCTGTTGTAAAGCCGACAGTCAGCTTTACAAGTTTAAACAGAGTCCCGGCGGCAATAGCCATTTAACGACTTCTGCTGTTTTGCTGATACTCGCTCCATGGCTCTGAGCGCCAACAATCATCCCACGTTCAAAGGCTGTTAAATCGCGTTGTTTACCCATATCTTCAGAAAAAAAATCACTTCTACTGTCGTGGTAATCAACCTGCTTCCCTATTTATAATGGTCTGTCCCTCTAGCAACTTCAGCGCGAGATTATAGCTAAATTGACTACAAACGTCAGGTGGTTATAATAATCTGGCCACTCAGTGTATAACTCGGTTCAATCTCAAAAATATTCGTAACCAGTTCAAATGATGATGGAAAAACGAATAGTGAAATCATGTCCTCCCACTCAGACTTTTTTCCATTTAAGTGTTTTTATTTTTTTTCCAACAAAAGATAACAGTAAATAAATGCAGTGATAGAAAGACATACAGCCAGCATGGGATACATTCCACCGTTGTAAGGCTACTCCACATAGTATTACCATTGCACAACATCTTAGGATCAGTCAAATCCGCTACCACCTTGTGACAGTAGTGCCCTCTATGATCATTTCCACCCGTAACAGTTCGCCTTCTAAATATGGTTCTCATCTTGTGGATACATCCTTCTATTGCGCTTCCCAGGTGCCTCTTTTACTGCTGTTGCCTCCCCCACCCCATTAATGATATATCAACCCTCCTGTCAGGTATTAGACAAGTTGGTGCGGAGCATGGTCCTATTTGCTTGTGATCCGCCACTCCTCTGTACTATGGGTTAGTGCTTCTCAAGCAGCCATCCGTCCCAAGCGCTGGCCACGCCCCCGGGTTAGTGCCTTTTAGTGTTCAGAGTAAGAATTACCCCATACTGTAAACCTGTCTGCGCCCCTACCAAAGGGACCAGAAGGTAAAACTAACAAGAGGAGCCAGAGGCAATAAATTGAGATCAGTAAAGAAAGAGGGATTTTTCCCCCACC